CCCACCAAAAATACCCCACCAAACCTAATAAACAAATAATCCAAACTCAGAACAAACCTTTACTAATTTTTGTTGYATGTTAGTGGAAGATGTAAATTTGCTATTTTTGCCTCCTTTGTAGCYCAGCAATAGTGATCCATAAAAAGAAGAAGCTATCATGCAAGATAGCAGAGAAAAAAGAACAAAGATCTCTTTTATCTTCTAAATTTTTATAGCTTATTTTACAGTTACCATGGATGGGAGTGTTCAGGTGGTATCAAGCTTTTATTTATACTCCTAGTYTATTTTAATGGTTTCTACTCTTCCTGGAATGCTTTCTGACAGATTGTAACTCCATAGACAAACATGTATTTATTGGGGCTTAAGCACTATCTAAAATAACATCACTGCTTAACTGCCACAGCAAAAGTTTGTGATATGGAAGATGAAAGTTCAACTCTCACTGATTTGAAAATTGTCCTTCAAACTAGGTCTAAAGAGAGGTATCATTCATCACATTAGATTTTCTGAGTTGAGTAAGCAATAATCTATGTTATATGATGTTTCATGAAAGAGGTGAAAGTCAGACAGCCTTTAAAGTTAATGGTTTTGCTACTTTGCTATGTATCAGATCTACTCTGCTCATGAATCTTACAGCCTATGCTTTCTTGATAGAAGTGCTCTAAAAAATCTGTTAGTAACACTCATTCTTTAAAGGCTTTGTTTCCAAACAAAAAGTATTTGGTATAWAATAAAGTAGAGGTGATCATTTTCCATATTAATCACATAAAATTCAACTTTAAGACACGTCATTTTTATTTTAATGACCTGTTCATTATAAATTTTTGGTATCAAATATGTGTTATCTATGTGTTTCTCCTTCATTTGTTTCAGTGTAACCAGATAATGTTTTGTTAGTACGGATTTAATCAGGCTTATAGTATCTKATACTTTTTCTGATATTGCACTGAAGGCTGATTTTAAAAATAAATTGAAATTTTACAAGTGTATTGTTAAAAATTATTTACCAAGGAGAGAGCAAGTGCATTAAAAATGTCTGCTTCATGTCAATATTTACATAGAAAAATGTTTTTATATAGAATATTTTTTTTTAACTTATTGCTTTGTGAACAAATAATTCCATCAGAAATGACTACACTGGCAAGCAGTTCCATTGATGCTACTATGCTACCTCTATCCCTTTAAGATATCATGCACTTCATTCATATATTAATTTTATTTATATAAAAGTATTAATTAAAATTTACTTTTTTTTTTTGTTTAGTTTTGTATCTTAAATAGTTTTTCAAGTCTCTGTATTTTTGACATTTGTCAAATCATGCACACATACCTGCATAAGTACCAATACAAAATCTTTGGCTTGTTTTTTTTAAAAAATCCAGTGCAACTGGAATCTAAGTTATACTTGCTTTACCAGATTCTCTGTTTCCAGCCTAATCAATACTATTTTTTGTACCTTGAGAGGCAGGAACTGCATCCAAGACACAAATAATTTAGTCCTAAACATGCTAGACTTCTTTTTCCCATGGAAATGGGTTTATGCCATCTTAGTTGCTTTACTCCATTGTACATACACCTACTTAGGCAGTTGAATCCTACCCAAATTCTTACATTTCTAAAACTGTGGAGTTGTAATTATGCCCTAAGCTTTACACAATGTAAAAATACTTGATAAACAATAATTTGTTTTGCAAATATGAAYATTACTTAAAGCAAGTAATTTTGAATCAATGAGATAGTCAACAATGGAATACTTCTAAAAGTAGGTAAAATATAATAAGGCCTATAATATACATATTAAAATTATACTGCTTAAAATATCCAGTAATAATAATTACCATATGTGTCTAGATTTTTATATTTTATATTTATATTTATATATGTATTTTACTTSTGAAATTTACTATATAGTAAGAATACTGATAGTTCAGTTTCTCCAAAATCTTTCCCTCTATTAATATTTCTCATTATTGCTTGAAAGGTACAGAAGTATTTCTGTATTTTTGCTCAGTGGATTTTTTCCCTTCCCTCTAACTCAAGAGCTGGACTCTAGAGCAGTARGCATGGAAGTGGAAAATCAAGCTGGGTCTAAGAAGCACAGTGGGTCATTCCCTTTCAGGGAAATGGAGAAACAAGCCTTCGTGCAAACACACAGTTCCATTTGATATTTTGTCAGACACATCTAAGWTGTTCTGGGATACCTAACTTCTTTTATTCTGCTTCCATTTCTGATTCTTGAACTCGGTCTTTTAAATATTCATTCCTGCACATGCTAGTTTCATGCARTCCAATTATAAACAAGCATTCACTTTTTCTAATTACAAGCCTAGTCCTCAGGTCCTTTAAAATGCATTTATATTAGATATTTAGCTTCTTCAGAAGAATAGGTTGAAGCCTCATTCATTGTGTAAATTGACATCTGGAAACTCTTCAGGTCTTCTATGGTCATTGACTCTGGGTAGAGTGAATTCTATCTACCCTAGGCCTATATCCTATGCAAATAAATCTGAGGCTTTTATAGCATTTACAGCATTTTCATTCAGATGATTACAACTGGCAAGATTTTCTCTTCCAAGAGGAGAGGAGGAAAAATATATAATTTGCCTCCACTCTAAGTTGTACAGGATTTTATGAGGTAATACCATGCCTTGTCAGCCTCCTTCCCACTCTGATCATCTTGCAAATATGTGTTTGACTATGGATAGTGAGATCAGTACAAAGCCAAAACCTAAAATAGAAGTCAGACAGACTTTACATAGCTCATGGAAAGAATAAGACAATTTAGAATATCTACCTGAAAAGACTGCTATTCTCCCTTAATTATACTGGAAGCCTAATTCTCTCACTGTGGCACTTCAATGGTTTCTTTTGGAAAGACAAGCCAAGTACCAATCTTTGTTAGTTTTCTGTTTTTATTGTTTGTTTGTTTGTTTTTTTGGGTTTTTTGTTTTTTTTTTTTTTTTTTTTTTTTTTTTTTTTTTTTTTTTGTTTTGATTTTTAAATCACAGTTTCACTGCACTTGATATCTAAAATTCTAATTAGTCTATCATTGGATCCATATTTCTGTTCTCTCTCCTCCTCTAGATATAGACTATTAAGTTCAATGAAGAAACTGGAAACGTGGCTACAGAATTGCTTCATAAAACTGCTGATTTTATAAACCACAACCTGTTTCACATTTTTCACCTTTTTGTTCTTTCATTCTCTTTCTTCCTTCCCTATATGCATTTCTATTTGGTCTTTTTGTCTGCCAGGTTTCACCTTTCCCATATTTCATTTATGCCTTTCCCTGCCTTTTTGGCATCTTATTGCACTTTCATGTTCCATTCTGTTTTATGGACTACTCAACAGGGATATTAGAATCACTATTACTTTAAATAATAGTTTTGGATCACACACTGTGCCCTTTCTTTTTTATACTTTAGCACCACTTATTTCAAACACTGCCATTAAAAGAGCTCTCACTCATCTTCCACTGGCAGCTTTGAAACTGCCTAACATATGACAAACACCATGGACATTGACTACCAGGCCTGTCAATTTTTATTTCCTCATCTCTACATGTATCAACTTCTAYACACATGGTTCTATTGAAAACTACATGAAGACAGCATAAAGTGAATTTTGTTACCTGGTCGTGACCTCAGTTACAATGGGGTGCATCTGACAATTTTTTGCTGTRTCAACAAAAAGACATCCATGCAAAGGGTGGGTGCTTATTTCTATCCTGTATACAAAATCCATTCAAACTGTTCTAGAGTTATTAATACATGGATATAACATAGCACATAGTTTAGAAGACAAATGGAAAAAATATTTATTACTTCAGATTAATTTCTCACTGCATAGGGCATTGCTAAAATCATGGGATACTTAGAAAAAATTAAAACAAAAAAGGAAATAAATTCTGTTAACTAAGCTTCTCAGGTAATATGATTCCTATATAATTCCAGATAAAGAACCTATCTCTTACACAACTCAAACAACTGCATTTAATCATACCAGTTTATGATTCTTTCCTCATTTTACCTGTTGTTTACAAAAAGCCTGAATCACTTCAAAATAAAAATTTAAAAATTATTTTACAGGAAGCCAAAAAACCCCAAGTGCTCAAATGCCTAGTTCCTTCCTTTTTTCCTACTATAGAAAACATACCAGCTTTTCTCTAGTCATAACCTCAACATTCCTCAACTTAAACTATCATGGTACTTTTTAAATCTGCTGACCAAAAGTATCTGTAAAATTTTAGCCCATTTTTTTTTAACTGATCACCAAGGGTTTTCAATCACAGATTCCTTCCTTCCTTCCTTCCTTCCTTCCTTCCTTCCTTCCTTCCTTCCTTCCTTCCTTCCTTCCTTCCTTCCTTCCNCCTTCCTTCCTTCCTTCCTTCCTTCCTTCCTTCCTTCCTTCCTTCCTTCCTTCCTTCCTTCCTTCCTTCCTTCCTTCCTTCCTTCCTTCCTCATATACATTTTTGTGTTATTTTTATGCTTTTATATTGCTATATTACTACAGATAATAATAAACAAAATGGCTACATACCTGTTTCCCATTGCAACCAAATAGCTCCAAAATAAACCCTACAAGTGTGCATTTACAAACACTGACCATTCAGTGCCATCTAACTGACCCAAGGGATCTATTAACAAAAACCTGGGCTACCGTCACCTTCTGGAGCCGGTTGAAACAGCATCTTCTATTCCTATTTTTCATGATGTTGTAATAATTCTATCACACCAAGTGGTTTTAGTAGAACAGATAATGAACAGTTTCATTTTCTATACCGTGTAGCAATACAGAAAAGCTATTGTTACTGGTCAGAATACTACCATAGCTTAAAAGTACTGAGGTTTCCATTACAAATTACATAACTGAAAAATGTGGCATGTTTGAAAAATATTTTTTTTTCTTACCTAAGCCATGTCTATGTGTTGACATAGGTGGTAACACAGTCCAAGCCTTGGTCTTTGGATTGTAACATTCAACAGTGTTTAATGTCTTCAAACCATCCCGGCCTCCAATGACAAACAACTTGTCATCGATGACAGCAACACCAAACTGAAGCCTCCTGCCATTCATTACTCCAGCCTGAATCCATATGTTTGTTCTGAGATCATATTTTTCAATAGTTGTGGCTCCTGAGGAGACATAAAAGCAGAACTACAAATAACAAAATTATAGATGCATTTAAGTTAATCCTTMAGAGAGTGACTTGATAATTAATCTGAAATATAACTAGTGTTTTATTTTACAATACACATAACAGTGCCTCACTTCCAAAGTTCAAATACCCTGCAGAAWAAAATTAACATAATTATGAAGCTTTACTCTTTGGAACAAACTGTTTATAATAGGTTAGAMTTCTATGGAAAATAATTCTTTTGGGATTCATTAATTCTGTGGAACAAAAGAGCAATGAGCAAAATTCAAACAAATATCATGAAAACAACAGTTTTGTTAATTGGGCTAAAAAAAGTCATCATTTTAATTCAATTTGTATCTAAGTGAACCAGAGGAGCAGTACAGCTGGATGTATTAAATTCCTTCCTAGCATAAACATTAAAGTTTTGGGGAAATATTTTGGAATTCTGTTTTATCATTTAAGCAACTGATTATACTTTAGGATTTTGGGTAGTAGTTCTGTCTTTGCCAGAAGTCTAAGTAGATCATAGAATCACAGAACTGTAGAATCCTTTAGGTTGGAAAAGACCTTTAAAATCATTTAACCATTAACCCAGCACTGCCAAGTTCACCAYTAAAGCCCAAGTGCTACATCTACAAACTTTTAAAATACCTCCAGGGATGGGGACTCYGTCACTTCATYGGGCAATTCCRATGTCTGATAACACTTTCAGTAAAGCAATTTTTCCTCATATCCAATCAAAASCTCCTTTGGTAYAATTTGAGGCCATTTCCTGTTGTCCTATCACTTGTCACTTGGGATAAGAGATGGACACGACCCTGCTAAAACCTCCTTTCAAGAAGTTGTAGAGGGAAACAGGTTGTTCCCTGAGCCTTCTTTTTCTCCAGRCTAAACAACCTCAGCTCCCTCAGCTGTTTCTCATACAACCTGTACTCCAGACCCTTCAGSAGCTTCAYTGCCTTTTTCTGGACACACTCCAGGAGCTCCAATGTCCTTCTTRCARTGAGRGGCCMMGAACTGGACAYRGGATTTGAGGTGTGGACTCACCAKTGCCAAATATGGGGGGACAATCACCACCTGGTCCTGCTGGCCMCACYATTSCTGATACAGGCCAGGRTGTCACTGGCAATCTTGGTGACCTGGKCACATRCTGGCTYATGTTCAGYTGGCTGTCAGCCAAYACYTCCASGTCCTTTTCCACTGTGCAGCTTTCCAGTCACTCTTTGCCAAGTCTGCATTGGATGACCCGAGTGCAAGACCTGGATCTCAGCCTTACTGAACCTCATACAATTGCTCTCTGCCCAGTAATTCAGCCTTTCAGAATCCCTTTGCAGAGCCTTCCTGCTCTCCAGCATATCAACACTCTCACCCAGCCTGAGGATACCTACAAACTGCCTGAGGGTGCACTCAATCACCTCATCCAGATCATTGATAAAGACATTCAACAGGACTGACCCACCACCACTTGTGAGTGGCTGCCAACAGGATTAAAATTCATTTGCTATCTCTCTTTCAGTATTTATAACTCATTATAATTATTAGCAGTTCTTGCAGAATTGCATTTTATTGCTAGAAACGAAGTGGCAACAAAACATTTCTTTGACACGCTCCTTAACTGACTGTTATCATACCCTGTTTCCTCTTCCTGGATTGTTCCTATGATCGTTCCTGTGGAAATCTCTTAGAAAATTAGAAAGATGTGAAGAAGTATCTTCAAAATACATAAATTTTAGGGAGGGATATTTATTCAGTTTAGAGAAATGAATTTTTGTACACTACACACTGTACATCAATATTGCAGTGTCCTCTGCAGATTCATTTACCAGTGCAGCCAGGGGCCAAGGGACTGTTCTTTTTCTGTACCTAACAAAGAGCTTGGAAGATGCTTTATAAGAATTTGAAGAAAAAGTTTCTGTCCTGAGAAGCTGTTATTGTTAAAATARTAACCCTGGCTTTTGAGTGATGACTAAAACAACTCCTAAATTTTAAAGCAAGTATACAACCTGCCAAGTGTGAGTCATATTTTAAAACTAACCTCTTAATATTTTAAAATTCTTTTACTCTCAACTTACTGACAGTTCTACTCTTGCCATAAAAGAAATATGGCCTTGAATTTAACATAAAAAATATTTTAAATTATGTCCCCCCCCCCAAAAAAAAAAAACTATCAGACTATACAGAGATTTACCTTAAGTTAAATTATGAAAATTCCTGTGGTTTGAATAATTACTGTCCCAAAAACTAAATAACTGTGGGTTGTACATGTCTATCTCACCTCTTTTCCCATCTTTCTTCACATACTCTGCCCTATGCATTTTTTTCTTTTACAGAATAAATTTCTTTTGCATTTGTCCCAGACTTGGGAAACAAAAAAAGGAACTTAGCGGGCAATTATTGTGCTTCTGAAGTTCTCTACCTACACTCTATAAAATAACAGCATCACTTTACACGACTCACTAATGCACTACTTGCAATTTTTTAGAAAAGTTTGGAGGGGAAAATAGAGGAGAGAAACATGCAAAGGAATGGAGGTAAGAGGGACATAGTATATGGGATAATATGTAGGAGATTTAGAGATACATGGGTGAGAGGAAGGATTGCAGTTAGTCCATCAAGAGAACAGATTTTAATGTAAAGTCTAAGACTGACAATTTAAAGAGGTAATCAGAGGTTTTGTACAGGTATAAGGACAGGATGTTGCAGGGATAACAATAAGACACAAATAGGACTGGTCTCAACATGTCTTTCTGTTGATTGCTCCTGAGAAGGAAATTTGAAGCCTATGTCTATGAAGAATTGAACYTACAGGACCYATTCTAGAAACATCACTTTTRTATCTTTWATTTGTTTATYTCACAAAGGAATTTACAATATTCTGGAGCAGGGAGAAACTTGATCAATTTACAGAAAATGTTTATCATACAATTCCTATATGATRCCTTATGTCTACATCCAAAGTTTTCAGCTAGGCAGTAATAATCAAATCAAAAAGCATCTATTCTGGCAAAAAGCATGGTCCTCAGCTTGCTCCCTGATTCTGAATGCATATATTTTATACATATTTGTTCCTTGCTAAGTTGTAGTGAGAGCAGTAAAACAAAAGAGGATAAAATATTTGTGTGCAGAATTCACTTCAGGGTCCCATTGTCATTGGCAGACTGGGCGAGAATGCAGCACATTTGATTCGTTCCATCCTGCACAGTACTGGAAAGAATTTCAGCTGCTTTTCTAAGCTTAAGCACTTTTACACGTTTTAAGCATCCATACTGTGATTCACAAACACCACTCTAGCTGTCTGTGACACAGGTTTCACATTATTTTATTAACTCAGAGCAAGTCCAGCTAGCAGAGAGAGGGACAGAACCCTATCCCCATCCACTTTCATCTCTTCTAARGCGAGATCAGTATCCAGGGTTTTTAAACCACCATGCTGTGGCACAGTGGAGGAACAGTCACTCACCCAGATGCTAGTTCCAGTGACAAGTAAAAATTGGTAGCATCACATGCCCGCTGAGATAACAAAGTCCTCTCCTCTCTGCCATTACTAGTAGATGGCATCAGCAGAGCCCGCTCCTAACTAATGTAACTTCCAAACTGTGCAGACTCAAAGAAATGAGCTGTGTTGGTTAATACTGCCTACCTCAGTCTGCATAGGCTGTGAAAGGATGTCTTAGCAATGTCAGGAATCTGTAGACAAGGACTTTTTTCTAATCCCCATGAAGGAACCAAACTTAATTCTGACTACATGTTTCAGAAAACCAGAAAATCCAATTTCCCAAGAACATGAGGATGGGAGGAAGCAATTGGGAAGTGACTACGGTGTATTTTTTTTTATGGAAAATGGAAATACAGGTTCAATATGAAGGTATGTATAACATAAATAAAGGAAAAACTTATTACTCATTTTTAGCTGCAGTGTTTCTGCTGATTATGCAGAGATAGGCATATTTTCCAGTAAAACAAAACAGATGGAATACCACAGAATAAGAAACACACATATAAACCCAAATAAAAATATTAACTACATCAAAAATTCAATGAAAATACATTTTAAATGTATTCTATTCTATTCTATTCTATTCTATTCTATTCTATTCTATTCTATTCTATTCTATTCTATTCTATTCTATTCTATTCTATTCTATTCTTTCTTCCACTTGCATATCCCTAGTGGATTTTGAGTGGTCTAATGGTAAAAAGCAAAATAAATGACTTATTAGATTGTCTTTAATATACTAGGTATGAAATTGTAAAGATGAAAGAAAAAGAAATGCATAGAATATTGAAGATTTTMCAATAAAAGTACTACATACACATGCAATTCCTGTATACACACATGCATACACAAACTCCTATTTTTCAGATGGGCAGAGCTCTAAAACAGACCAAGAAATTTCAGGATGTAGCACCGAAGACAGAGTATATGAAAAAGACATAGTGACGTGAAACAGAATTAATTTAATAGCTATTTGCATGATAAAGAAAAGTGTGTAGTAAATTTTAAGAAATTGCACCATGACTGTGGCAGCACAAATGATTTCCAATAAGAACATAAAAATGTTTCTTGATGTTCTGGATACAYTTAAACTATTTTTCCCCCTCCCCCTAACTTAAATTCTACTTAGGATCCAGCTGGGCATTGGATTAAATTAGTTCTGTGTATTGTGCATATGGGCATTGTAAACCCTGATTAATCAAGGTCTATGAAGTAATGAGAGACCTACAGAGAAAGAAAACTTCAGGAATGAAATGCCGTAGATGATCAGGGTAATTTTGCATTAATGTCCAACTGCTGCTGACAACTCCTCTGTGTATGCAGCAGGGATAAATACAATCCTAGCCCCCATGTTTCTGWTGAAACAGGAAAGAACTAGACCTCACAATTTCACCTTTATCTACAGGGCAGTACAACATTGCACACTAYAAATTTCAATTTCTCTGATTTAGTTGTCATTTTTAAGCACATTAATTTGTAAAATTGCTTTGGTGAAACCT